GTCAAATATGCAGATGACCTGACTGTTTCGCTTCCCGTTAAGTCTCAGTCAGACTGCTTCAAATTAAATAGCTTCCTGTCGGACATCAGTCAGTGGTCTAAAATAAATGGCCTAACGCTGAATCCCTCAAAATGCCAGACTGTCGACTTCTCCTTTAGGCATAAACGAGATCTACAAACACTAGTAAGCACTCATGATGTCTGTAGAATTGAGGGGACTATAATTGAAACAAAGTCTAATGCAAAATACCTCGGATTAGTTATATCTTCCGACCTTACCTGGTCATCTCATATCCAAATGATTTCCAAGAAAGTGTTTCGTCTAACCTACTACATTAAGAAACTCAGACTAACTGGAGTCCCTCAACCTCTGCTTTCACAATTTGTCAACTCTCGTATCCTACCTATTCTACTTTACTGTTCCCCGTTAGTCTTTCCTGGGTTACTGAAAAAGGATTATACCATCCTGAGAAGGATGTTGAAGGTAGTTAGTAGGACTAGCGGTGTAAAACTCAGTCAGCTCGTCACAACATTAGTGGATAAGCATCTGAATACATGTGAGAAATGGTCTAAAACCATACTCTCTGACCCCCAACACCCCCTCTATTCCCAACTCTCTCCCTGCATCTCATCAGGTAGAACCAGAAATCAGTACAAAATAATATATGCTCGTACAACCAAGTATAGGAACTCAACGATACCATATTTGGCCCGTGTTCTAAGTGACAGAGACAATGTTAAGCGTGAAACCTATGACTTGCTTTGTTGTTAATAACATAATTTTGGCATTTTTATTTTCCCTTAATACTCTGTTATTTGTACTCTATAGTGAACAACCTTCTTAAACATACTTAGCTGCCTAAATTATTAACATTGGCTTACTTTTTTTGTACTTTACTCTATTCCTTCTTTTGTATATCTACTGGGTCCGACTGTATTATCACTATGATTATTACAAAATTGTCCCGTCATTAACCATCATGTAATATTAGTTTTGTGGTTGTTTTTTGTTCGGCACTATTTAATTGACAATCTCGTTCGTGAACGCCACTATCACCATCTTAAAATTTTGTATTATGCAGGATTACTCACACTACCACTACAAACAACCGCATTAGTGCTGACAATAAAAAAAATGTTTATCTTATGATTGCTTAGTGTTGTTCAGTCAAATTAACTGATCATCTTGGCTATAAACATTTTTTAATAACATCTCATAATTTCCCGTATGATTATAGCTGTTACTGTTCACCACGCATACACATATCGTAGCTCCCACTAACCGATACTGAAATATTTTTTCATTATTTGTGTTGATCTTCCTTTTTAATTGGTATTTTTCTTTGCATTTTTTATTTGTTTTTTTTCTTTTTTGGTTTTTTGTTGTTTTTTTATATATATTTTTTTATTTTTTATAATACTCCTTTTAAATGTACGATGAAATTAGATGCAATATTGTAGATATGTGCTGAAAATTCCACACTGTACCACAAGTACTGTTTCTGAAATAAAGCGAAATTGTTATTATTGTTATTACATAGCTAGGAAAAAAATGTACCTCATTATATTATCTTTACTAAATATGCTTATGAATCTTATGTGTAACTTATCGAATTGATGATGCCTGTAAACTGGCGTCCTTCATGTAAAAAATGAGAATATATATTATTATTATTCATGGCCAACAACAACTGCAAATACAACAGACAACAATCTGGCCTTGACCGTGCCGGCCTGTTCGAATTTTTGGGCCAGCTACTATAATATCTACATATTGCGTTCAATCTACTCTTTACTAACATTTATTTATCACCTAAATATGAATTCAGACAGGATCGTTTACTCTCGTAACTTTATTATTGATTTACCACCAAATGACTTTCATATTTCAAAGAAATCAAGGAGGAAGCATCGTAGTGGTTGGCAGAGAGCTCTCAAACGTACACCAATACACTTAACCACGGTACCTGTCATAATGAGCACAAACTTCCGATCTCTGCCCCAACAAGATGATGTACCTACAATCTCTGATGTCCACTGACACTTATCATAATACTGCCATAATCACATTACAAGAAACGTGGTGACACGAAATGTATGATGAGAATCTTATCTCACTAAAGGACTGTCAACGTTGTAATAAGAAAAATGGTGGCGGAGTTGCAACTTTTATTCGCTCTAAATGGTCTATTTCGAGTGATGTTTGCTTCTTATTCTCAAATAACTTCATAGACTGTTGTCAATGTAGTTGAAGATTGAACGATCAATTCATGGTTGTTAGCCCAAACCCAACTCCATATTTTTGGCGGGAGTTATCGATACTGCAGTCATCGTTTGCTGTTTGTTGGAAGAAAGAGAAAAAATATCAGAAGTAATATCGTGATTTATTGTAATAACATTTATTCTTATACCTTGTGTACAATAACCTTATGGTTGGCTCTGTATTGGTGCAAGAATGAGGGGTTCTTGAGTCACCAATTCGTGTTCTGGTTTTTTGTGTTGGTTATTGCGCATAGTTTCTGAAAGTCTTCAGAGGACAGCGCGAGGTCCAGTGTAGTAAGACCTGGACATTAACAACTGTATTACTGTCAGATGCAGTCCCAAACATCTCCCCAAATATAATTATATCTTTGATACAGACATGTACATTTTTCCTAGTTGCTCATTATCTGATCTTTCAAATTTTGCTGGCGAAATCATCATGTTTGCCGCTGCTAACTTCGACAACTATCTATCTCTTATTACTGGGGATTTCAACTCCTCAGGTAGCTCCTTCCTTGGAGCACTTGGTCCTAAAAACATAGTCAAACTTTCCACCGGACTTGACAAAAACTCGATTTAGTTTTTACCAATGACAAAGAAGTATATGAAACACGTAAACGTGCACCAGTACTTAACTCTGATCACTGTATTGTCCGTGTATTACCAAAAATATACAGCAAAACACAATTAAAGTCTTCTCACACCTGCATATGAAAGAACAACAAGTATGCTACATATCTGACAACATCCTGCATATTATTGTCTATTGCTCCCCCTTAGTTTTTTCAGGGCCACTGAAGAAGGACTATATCTTATTACGTAGGGTGTTAAAGGTTGTCAGCAAGATAAGCAATGTGCCACTTAACCAGCTTGTTAATATTCTGGTTGACAGGCACATGGAATCATGTGAACAAAGGGCTAAATCCATTCTACCTAACTTACACCACCGTCTTCATTCAAAACTCTCGCCTTGTATCTATCTCATCAGGCAGGACCAGAAGCCTATATAGAAAACTATATGCTCGCACTAGCAAGTACAAAAACTCAACTATACCTTACTTGGCTCGTATTCTGTGCGACAAAGAAAGCATTAGGCATGAAACTTATAACTTAATAAATAGTCAGTAGAACAATTGGATCTAGTCTTTCCAACTCATATCATTTATAGGTACAACGTTTTCTTTTCTTTCTTTTCCTTTTCTCTTTTTCTGTTACGTGCTGCTTTGTTTCTTTCTTCCGCTTACGCCAGTAAATATGCAAGCATCTAATTTTCTAACACCTTCAAACACCTTTCAATTTTGGCTTTGCTACTGACATGCTAATATGTTGTCTGTCAAAACTAACTGAGATTACCCTTAATCTATGTAGAATTTTATTTATTGATAATGTGCAAACTGGATGCAAGACTGTAGTAAAATGCTGAGAATTCCATTCTGTATCACAAGTACTGTTTTGAAATTGAGCATATTATTATTATTATCAGCATAAATGGGAGGAATCTGCAAAAAGCAACCTCCTTCACCTACCGACCTGGTTAGCATCATTTCAACTACAGGCGGATGGAACTGATGGGAAATCAAGGCGAGGATCAGGAAAGCAAATCAAGCTTTCATCACTTTCAAGTCTTTGTGGACATCAACACCCAGCACTCAGCTTGCAAACTAAAATCCCGATTTTTAACTCCAATGTGAAGTCAGTGGGTGCTCAAAGACTTGGCGCCTCACGTAGTCTCTTTGAACAAACTACATCTTCATCAACAGCTAACAGTCGTCGCTCAATACTACATAAGATCAGACGACCGACTAGAAAAGATCAGCAACAGGGAGGGATCTCTGGCAATGAGCTAACCAATCCAGGTGAAACCAGTTGTGCGACAAATATGCAGGAAGAAATGAAGGTGGATAGGCAACCGTACTATGAGAAAACAAACCATCAAGTAACACCACACGACAGGCCGTTGGTCTAGTGGAGCCCGAACGGGAAGCGGCGAGTTGGTCGTTAGTACGAGGGCGGGATGGATGGAGGTCATGTGAAGAGGCTATGAAAGAATGTGGGCAGAAGTGGAGCCAGGTGAAAAAACGTTGGCAGAGAACCGAATGCAGTGGAGACGTTTGGGTGAAGCCTTATGTTCCTTTATGAACTAAAGCAAACAATAATGATATATCAGTAACCATTAAACGGATACCAGCGAAAACTCGTACAAAAACGTAGGAAAACTGAAATGTTTCGCATCGTAGCCAGGTCTCCAATCCTAGCCCTATTTGTGGATGCATATTCATCAAGAATCCCAAACTAGTCTAAAAAACTGTTATTCAGTACTTCTATACTTTCTAATGATTTTCTGACTGGTGTCACCCCGTAATCAACCCAGTCATTTTCAACTTATCGGTTTGCTTGTTTTTCTGATTAAATCTATATAATATTCCCAATTTCCATTAAGTCCCTTTTCGGATACATTAGACGGCTGACAAGTGAAATGACTGATTCCGTTCATGTCAGCGGGATGGCTTTAATTCACTTTATACCTCAAACCGTATTCAACCAACCTCCCATCACTCCCGTAGGAGCTAGCCAAAGCAACGGTGAGAGGGGGGGGGGGTAAACTACACAGCTTGGTTTAAACTAACTAGCGAAATGGACCTTGGATATTGGAAAGTCGCTGTCTTCTGCGGCAATACGTAATGTGACGTTACAGGAGGATGTCAAGGTTATTTCGTTGGATTTATTTCATATCTAATAATGAGTGCTAATATTATCGAAAATGATGACTGTGAGCACGTAGACAATATACTAAATGAATCTGTTTCAATTGCACAACTTTTTGAGCTGGCATACAATTCCATTATAAACAACAGTTATAGTTGTCTGAAGAGTATAGTAACACATCCACAGTGTATGTATTCCTCACATTTTGCTTTATAAACTGAATTTTAGTTGATTTGTACAAACCTTTTGAAGCTGATGGATTTAATCTGGTAAGTGGCAAATTCCCTTGCAGATTATATCGCTCACATGGTTTTAATATATTAAAACTATTAAAACTTTAAATAGGGGAGATTTAATAAGTGCAGTTGGTTTTCAAGTGTCTGGTTCTCCTGAAAACAGTGTTTTTGTCTTTTCTCATGCGAATTTCATCAGGTTCATGAAACCCAATCACATGCCATTCAGAAACATCTGATACAACATATACATTGTTTGCTTCATATTTTGATAAATTTTATCAGATATTTAAAGGTGAATACTAACAGCAACGAGTGGCTGGTGTTACCATGAGTAGTCCGTGAGGACCTTCACTGGCTGTAGTGTATCTCATGTTTCCGGAAACATACCGGGCTTCTAATCGAACAAAAATCTCGATAAGGAGGTGAATAATAGGCATGGCCAATAATAAGCAAAAGTAGGCTAATTTTGACTACATGGCGTAATTTATCCCATTTTAAACACTGTCTGGCCAGAATTTAACCAGTGTGTTATCATTATTAAAACAATAATTCTAATATTAAAGACATCATTTTGCGGTATTTCTGTGGCTTTCTCTAACCATCTTTCATTTTTGTCTGATAGACGAAGACTATAATAAAATTTTTTACATCTTACTGAAACTTCTGGTAAGTTGTGATGATACGCCTTAGAGGCACTTTCCCTGCTCATACATCCGGTGCCACTTGGCAAACAATCCTTTTACTGATGTTTTTACGTCACAGTGGATGGATTACTTGTCCCAAGTACCCCAATTTCTTCTTACCTATCCAAGTAACGGTTAATTAAGTTTGTTAGGCCCTTATATCTGCCTGTGTATTGTGAAGGCTTCTGATGATATCCTCTGAGCTAGGTGTTTTTCTGAATATTAGTTACTTTGGTTTGTTTTAAAGGTGGAGCTGTGGCTCATCAGTGTAGACACTCGACTTTAAGCGATCGGTCACACTCTTGGACTTATCGTCATCAATAAAGGTTGGCACAGCCAGGTAGTATCATTAGTCCACATGCACAATAGATATGAGTCAGTGCCGAGTGCATGTGGTTGTCGAATAACTTTCATTCTTTAATTCATCTATCAGGATTTTACGACTTTCGTCTATCGACTCAAATAAGTCAATACTGGTTAATATGGAAACAATCTTAATAATTTCCAGTTTGCGTAATATTACCTATTTCACCCATGTTATTTTTTTCATAATTTAGCCAATTTTGCACCATGCAATCCGCCTGAAGAATCTTCTTGCATGCGAACTTTTATTTGAAGTTGGTGCAAATCCATTGGTTTGTAATGGTCATTGCTGTGAAAAGAATAGCAAGGATGTAACATGTGAAGATGCTGTACAGCTCGCTTTTAATTTTGCCTCGAGTTCAGATTGTCAAAATGCTGTAGCACTTTTAGTTCAAACATACCTGCGTTAGTTAAATTCATTCTGTAAAATTTGGTATCCATTGTTTTGTGTTTTTATTATATTTTCTAATTTTGATGAAATAGGGTAATGAAAGATGCTGCTGCTAGTATGTATAGCGAGACAAGACAAGAAACAAAACTTGATAAATCTTCAATTAATCTTAGAAGTTTGTTATTATTATTAAAGTTTCCATTTATTCACGAGTACATATACTCTTCCCGTATTTTGAATGCAATAGTTGCCGTTTACTCGTCAAGACCAAGTCCTCCTCCTCAAATTCTTGCTTTTGAACTTTTAGTGCGCTTCTACTCAACGCTGGTAGTTTTATACATTGTCGAGAGGTAGTCACAAAATTGTAATCCTGTAGTTTATATGCTCATAAATCTATCACTTTTTTAAGTAAACTAACAGCTATCACCTCATGATGAAATCCTTTCACCAGTCAAATCCATGCAAGCCAACACTTGAACACCAATGAAATGCTCACTAGCTACTGGCCCTATTCAGGTAGGTATTTATCTGCGTTCTAGTAAGAATTCGTGGCCAGTGGAGGAGTACAGCAGGTCGGGTGTGGGGGGAAATACTCGCCAAGAATGGCATTGGCTAGTGTTCGCGCTGTATCGTGAATTGGCAGAAGTTGGAATTCGTAGGGTAGCCAATGGATCAGGTCCGAGTGGTTTAATGGTTTACAAGCTCGTCTTGTAACCGGAAAGAAATGGGTTAAAACCCCACGGTTTGGGTGCATCTTGCTGAAGAATAGTTCAAAACTAGGTTGACAAAACTGGTTTTCCAATGGTTTTTCAATTGATGTCATCTCATGATGAAATCTTATGGCCAATCAAATCCCTGAAAACCAACACTTTTTATAAGTGGAGATGGTTATTTAGTGTCTGTGTCAACATACATGTGTACTACCAAGCATTATTTGACGTTAGTAGACTATACACCACTGTATACCGGCAGAATTGTCTTTTTGGCTAGCGAAAACAGAATGTAGGTGTGTCTATAGTCGGTCACAAAACATATGTTGAAGTCATAACACTTAACTGCACTTGAAAAGACCTTCAAAGTCCTGTAGAAGATCTGATCAACCGTCTCAAAGAGGGTAAGATCAAGACATCTGGGTATATACGTAAAACAATAATGATTCAGATGCGTCAGTGGTTCAATGGCCGAACGCTAAATGACCACGCACATGGTACGGGGTTCTATCCATGGCCGACACACTCATTTACCTCGCCAAGCTGATTGTAAAGCCGGTGAAGAAGGAAGATGGGGCGTGTAAGGCTAGCAACCTCCTCACATCATTAAAATAGAACCACTGCTACCTAAACTTCAAAGCTCTAGCTTCAAGACCTATACACCACTCGGAACCTAAAGAAATAAAATGAATAATGAGTAATAATTATAGTAATCCAAAGAATCAAGCCAACATTATGTATCTATAAGAAGCTTGACCCATTGTTGCCTTTACGCTATGATAAACAGCCAATTTTTTCAATGACTATTATCCTACTGTGTTTTTTACGCGAACTTCCTGCTTATTTTGTCACGTTTTATTACGTTTTTAATTCCTATTTGTTGGTCTTGTTGTTCTTTGTAATTTGACCGTTGACGGGAAACAGTTCTGGAATTCTTCCACCCCCCTGTACTGTTTATATATACACACATACACACACACACTAATGTACAGCCGAGTTGATGCATGCTTCAACGGGAAGAGAATTTTCTTTTCTGCAACCGTTTTCTTTTTAATTTCCCGTATGATCTAATGACAGTTAGAAATAGGGAGTGAAGTGGTAGAACACGTTGACCGCTTCACCATCAGCCAGTGCCAAAGGGTTGATCTCTGACGAAATCTCAGGACGGATACAGAGGGCTAGTGTCGCATATGCTAGTTTACGCCGTCTCTGGCGTAGACGTGATATCCGGTTATCTACTAAAGGGCGGGTATACTGCTCAGCAATCCGCTCCGTCCTCCTTTATGGCTGTGCGTAAGACCTGGCCATTGAGAGTGGAAGACATGAAAAGATTAGCTGTCTTTGATCATAGATGCCTGCGCTCTATCTTCCGTGTGAAGTGGTATAATAAGGTGAGCAATATTGAGGTTAGGTGTCGAGTGTTAGTGAGGTAAGGAGGGGAAATCAATCGACGGGGCTGTGAAATTACATCGACTGAGATGGTTAGGACATGTGTTACATATACATGCCTATTCATCGCCTTCCTCGAGTGACGGGGAATGCTAGCTGACATAGGGTCAGTTTGGAAAAGAGCTAGCGGCGGTCAAACCAAAACATAGCACCAGTCAATGAAATCCACAAGTTAGTTTAAACCACTTAGAAAAGTGTAGGCTGGCTTCCTGACTGGTTGGGGTCCTCGGGGCGGTAAAAACCAATGGTTGGAAACAATTGGTGACTTGGCTCAAAATCGTTCTCAGTGGCTGGCCAATGCAGATGCATCCACTCCTTGTGACTTATGATTTCCAATGAAACTATGTTGTTCTTCGTCATTACTATTCCTTCGTCTCACGCCTCTGTTTATTGTCTCAATTATGCATTTCTTCTACTTTCTTCTCTGGCTTTGTGTGTTACATGGAGTGTGACGAATTGAACTGTTGCACATCGGTGCAAAGTTCTATGTCGAAAACAGACAGACAGACAGACTCCATGACAGTCATTTGAGTACCAACTGTTAGATTGGTGTAACTAGTTAATATAAACTACATATTTGGCTCTCCAACCCCAAGTGCCACAAGTGCTCTGGGTTTCGATTTTCCAGCTGGCGCATCCCTAAACCTCGCATAGCTTGTAGTAAGCCTGCTAGACAGAGAAAGAGAGAGGATTAGACATGAAGCTATTGTCTTCATCCTTCATCTTACATATCCCCTGAACCCTAATCTTTCTACAAGTTGATGACGGATTGATATCAGCTAGAGAATCATTGAAAACCAGGAAGTACTGGACAGCTGTTTCATCCTAGTTTAGTCGTCATCAAGAGTACATACCCGCTGGGGTTCGAACCCAGGACCTTTTGGTTACAAGGCAAGCTCGTATACCATTCAACCACTGGGACCCGACTCAATGGTTCATGAATTCTAACTGCTACCCCCGACCGAAAGCTGCTACCTTGACGTAGTGGTCGGGCTTGAACACCGCAATGACCTAATCAAGCTATACTGGCTGAGACTTATGTCTCTTCAGGTCCTACCATGCCAGGCAGGTTGTTTGGATAGCGCTTAAACAAAAAGCAGCTACCCAATCCAACATCATGATCAATACAAAATCACAAAATTTCATGCCGGATCGGCCGTGGTCCGGATTAACAACGACCACGCTTCCTGCTGCCGTGTCACAGGGCAGGAGTGATAAGTATGCTACTGAGGCACACCACACAAAAGAGAACAAACAAAAACAGGCCGCGTGTGACCGGCCTCAAGCAGTTGTCCCCTGGGCTCTGCGGTCACGCAACCAACTTCGACGGTGTGGGCAGCCGGGAAGTAACAATCGCCCTCACAATCCGAAACGCACGCGAAACCTCTAATTCTCAAACTAGGATGAAACAGCTGTTCAGTACTCCCTGGTTTTCAGTGGTACTCTAGCTGATGTCAATCCGTGTTCAACTCGTAAAAACAAAACTAACCCTTGTAAACCAAACTATAGAAAACCTAATCTTTCTCCCACAATTTTCTGTTTAGCATTTTCTTTTTGAATTCCTTTTTTTCCTATTGCTTTGTCTGTCATTGTATACTTTATGCAGTAGAGCAACTTGAACTGTTGTACTTTCGTGTACAAAGTTCTATGGTGAAACTTAGTCATCACTCACTCAATCTGTCGTAGGCACCAACCTGTGTATGATAAATTTATCTGAAAAACACTAAATAAATCGATAGCGTTATACTTTTTCGTAGGTAGTTCTGTAACAATAGAAGGCGAGACACAGAAGCCAAGGTATATTTTGTCATTCATTAAACCTCTATTTTTTTATCTATACAGTTTCATGTTCTTTAACCAATCACTGAGCGTGTGATTTTGGTTTTTATATTAAACGACATGAAATAGAATGTTCAAATATACGTGTATAGTATTCTGTTGCTAATACAGTCAGTCATTGTCTGAATCACACCACCACAGTTACACAACCGTAGATTCGTGATAAGTCTATTTTTTTTAGTCTTATGATTATCTCGTATTTTTTTTTTCATTTTCAGATGCACTAATTACAAGTGAGTAGTGTTAGTTTAATTTGGAGAATTTGATGAATTCTGGCCTTTTGTTTCTCTTATTGTAAATTGGTACTAGTCGGGTTGGCTGAGATCACCTATTCGATTGTGTACACTTTTCTTATATTGTTTAGATTATTATTGTTTCCTTTAATTCCTAGAGGAACATGGGGCTTCAGCCACTCGTCTCCATTGCGTTTGGTCCTCTGCTAACGTTTTTACCTAACTCCACGTCTGCCCACATGCTTTCATCTCCTCTGCACATCACGTCCTCCAAGTCACCCTTGCACTGACGACCAATTCGCCGCTTCCCGTTCGGTTTCCACTCGAACAATGGCTTGTCTAGTGATGTCACTTGATGGTTTGTTTCCTCAGAGTATGGCCAATCCATCTCCTTTTCTTCCTGCCTATTTGTTTCACAATCGGTCTCTGGTTGGTTAGCTCCCAGAGATCCCTATTGCTCATCTTTTCGGGTCATCTGATCTTGAGTAGTATTGAGAGAAGACAGTTGTTGATTATGGTCTGTAGTTTGTTTGAGGTGCTCTTCATAACGCGGCGCCAAGTTTATGATCCGTATACTGGCACTGACTGACTTCACATTGGAGTTGAAAATCCGGATCTTATTTTTCATGCTGAGTGCTGAGTATTGACCTCCACACAGACTTGAGATTAATGAAAACTTGTCTTGCTTTCCTAATTCTTGCTTTGATATCCTTTGACTACTAAGTGTGGTTGTATACATTTGCTATACATTTCTGTCATATGTCTTTCACTACTAAATTAGCAGGTTCTGTAATCACGGGCACATAGGAAACCATGTCCAATGTGAGCATGTGATGTATTAGCTTTCAACCAATAGATCCCAGGTTTGAGTCCTACTCCGCCTGTTTCAGCCTTGCCAACTGGTGTTGGTATCTCTTCAGTCTTCATGAAAAAAAATCATTATTATGATTATTTGCATTATTAAAATATGCAAACTTCGTACATTATGGGCATCTAAAGATGCATCACAGAATATATCATAGTTTTCCCGAAAGCTGAAATACTACCCGAATTATTATTATATTATTGTTCTTTTGGGCTCCTAGTGGAACATAGGGCTTCAACTGCACGTATCCACTTGCCACTTCTGTCTTCCTTCTGCTGTACTTTTCACCTGCATCCATGTTAGTCCATACTCTTTCAACTCCTCTTCACACGATCTCCTCCATGTCACCCTGGCACAGACGTCCCACTCGCTGCTTCCCATTCTGTCGGGTTCCACTCGAGCAATGGCCTGACGCGAGCGCGATGTCACCCAGTAGCCTCCTCAGCGGGTGAGTGTCCAATCCATCTCCACTTTCTTCTGCATATTTGTTGGTTGGCGATTGGTTCTTGTTTTGTTTGTTCCCATTGTTTCTTGTTGGTGATTCTTCTTCCGGCCATCTGATCTTCAGTATAGAGAGGAGACAGTTGTTGATTGAGGTCTGCAACAGGCTGTTGGAAATATTCTTTGTGACCCACCCGCCAAGTTTCTGATCCGTATAGAAGAACTGACTTGACGTTTGTTTTGAAAATCCGACTGGATTTTGTTGTTGATGCTGGCTGAGTGACGAAGATTTCCAGATTGGTTTCAGGTTGATGAGTGAATGTGTTTCTCGCCTTCCCGATTCTCGCTCGATTTGACATCCTCGCCTGTTCCGACTGCCAGTAGTTGAGACAATGCTCCCTAGATAAGTGAATGAAGTGACCTCTTTCAAATCCCTCCCGTTGGTGGTGATTGACGCTGGATGTTTCTGCTGTAGTTGTAGTTGTTGTTGATTGGTTATTTTCATAACCTCCGTCTTGTCTATGTTCACCTGGTGTCCTGTCTTCGCTGGCTGCTTCTTCGGCCAGTTTGTCGGCTTTCGCTTGTAAGTCTTCGATTTTGTGACAGTGACATCAAACATAAATCATCCAAGCGCGAAATCCAGGTCTTCCAGATTCTTCACCTCAGTCCAGGATATCCCTGTCTTCTCGTTTTCCACTGCCCGGATACTTAGACTGAATTAGGTGGTTGTCTCAAGAGGCCTCTCCCCCCACCGCTGCGAGCCTTTGACTTCAAGTCTGATGTACATGGTGCAACGTCAGGAGCTACATTCCCATGATTTTCGGTGAACCAAAACAGATTCATAGGCCATTTCATTTTTTTAGATTCTGCAACCCGCCATGTGCACCATAAGTTAGGAATTAGGATTTTTCTGTTCCCTTAGATAAATATGAATGTCAACCAATCCATTTGTAGGCAGCATCAGAAGTTCGTAGTTAGATTTTCATTTTTCCTGAGGAACACCCATCGCCACCACCTCTGCATTAAGGCAGTGAATAGAAGATCATTGGTAGAGACTATGAAGGTAGACGGAAGTCTACCCAGCCACCGCGTCGGTTATAAAATGTCGTTTAAGAGGGTTCAATAGTCTGTTAGCTTTAATTCTTAAAGAAATGTACTCAAGTCTAGTTGAATTGTGAGTTAAATTCTCTATTAGTTATTTTCTGTACACCATATTTATCATCAGTATTTGTAATGGTCATATGAAATGAATTATGATATATATTGTATAATTACATATTTAATAACTTTTCATATATATTAATTTAATTTAATTGAATTGCAAATAGAAACAATGTAAAGGCAATCTTGTACACGTGACAGTATCTCCAATAGAATTATTCTGATATGTATAAACAGTATTTGCTGAGAGTTTTTTAAATTGATTTGTAATTGTTTTATGATTTATACAAGGTGGTTGAGTTGTATTCACTCGACTGTATTTAATTAATCTAGCCCAAATCACTATGGGTTTATATTTTGGCTAGAATTAAATGGGGGTTCCCCCTTTGTTCTTATTTAATTGTGACCTAAAGGCAGCATTCGACTCTGTCGATCGGGAAGTTCTCTGGAGATGCTTGGCTGTAAAGGGAATTCCAAGAAAATATATTGCACTGATTAAGGCACTCTACTCGTACTCATACAGCCAGGTGAGGGCTTACGGCGAGCTGTCATCCGAAGTGGTGACGACCAGTGGTGTCCGTCAAGGATGCCCATTATCTCCTTTTCTATTCAACTTCATCATAGATGTGTTAATGGACTTAACCCTAGGTGACTTCAGCGACTCAGGGATTGACTTGCTACCGGGGAATAATCTCGTTGACTTGGAATATGCAGACGATATAGTCCTTCTAGGCGAAGACGCTGACAAAATGCAGAGTCTTCTAAACACCTTGAGCCGCAATCTACGAATGTTTGGCATGCGATTCGCTCCCGCCAAATGCAAGATGATGTTACAGGACTGGACTACATCGACGCCTAGTTTAAAAATAGGAAGTGAAGTGGTTGGTGGAGCACGTTGACCGCTTCACTTATTTGGGAAGTACCATCAGCCCCAACGGGCTGATCTCTGACGAAATCTCAGCACGAATACAAGGGGCTCGTTTCTCATTTGTTAGTTTACGCCGACTCTGGCGTAGACGAGATGTTCGACTATCGACCAAAGGGCGGGTGTACTGCTCATCAGTCCGCTCCGTCCTCCTTTATGGTTGTGAGACCTGGCCACTGAGAGTGGAAGGCATGAAAAGACTAGCTGTCTTTGATCATAGGTGCCTGCGTTCTATTTCCCGTGTAAAGTGGCATAATAAGGTGAGCAACATTGAGGTTAGGCGACGAGTTCTAGGTAAACAGGGGAAATCAATCGACGAAGTCGTGAAGCTACAAAGACTGAGATGGTTAGGACATGTGTTACGTATGCCAAGCCATCGCCTCCCTCGACAATGGGCAATGTTAGCGGATATAGGGTCAGGCTGGAAAAAAGCTAGCGGAGATCAAACAAAAACTTGGTATCAGTCAATGAAATCCACAACAGTTGGTCTAAGCCACGTAGGACGGTGTAGACTTCCAGGCTGGGGTCCTCGGGACGGTAAAAATCTATGGTTGGAAACAATTGGTGACATGGCTCAAAACCGTTCTCAGTGGCGCAGATGCATCCACTCCCTGAGCCTTATGATCTTCAATGAAACTGTTTTGTATTTCTTTATTACTCCTTTGTCTCACACCTCTGCTCACTGTTTCTATTATGCTTTTCTTGTACTTTCTTCTCTTGCTTCGCATGCTACACGGAATGTGGCGACTTGAACTTCCGCACATTTGTGCAAAGTTCTATGTTGAAAACAGACAGACAGACAGGTATTTCTGTGGCTTTCTCTAACCATCTTTCATTTTTGTCTGATAGACGAAGACTATGATAAAATGTTTTGCAGCTTACTGAAACGGTGACGGATGAGATTTCCAGCCGTATAATGAAGGCTAGCGTAGCATACATCAACTTGAGCCACCTCTGGCCCCTTCGCGACATTAGCCTGGCTGTCAAAGGTCGGGTATACAATGCTTCGGTGAGGGCTGTCTTTCTCTACGCCTTTGAAACCTGGCCTCTCCGAGTGGGCTGAGGATGTGCGGGAACTCTGCGTGTTCAATCATCTCTGCCTCCGCAGGATTGCTTGCGTTCAATGGCATCATCGCGTGAGTAATTCTGAGGTTCCGTGGCGTGTGTTTGAACACAGTGGAGATCACCATTCATTGAGTGTTGTCGTCATCTGGAAACACCGGCTCCGGTGGCTTGGACATGTACTGCGAATATCATCCCAGAGGCTTCCGTACAGGTCTCTATTCGCTAGCCAGCCATGAGACGGGATGAAAAAGGCGGGGGGGGGATTGGTCAGTCCATAACGCGTGGCGTCGTGGGATGAAGGATGTTTGTGCTAGATTAGCATCTGTTGATGCGTCACCTCTCCCGAGAGATAGCTCAAATCGATGGCTTGAAATGTTATCGGATATGGCCAAGAATTGTAATCATCAATGGCGAACGTGTTGCAATTTCCTTCTTTCTTCCCTCCCCAATGATAGTTAACAAATACTGTTTGAACTTGTTAAACATGACTGTTTTCCTTCCAGATGAAGTTCTCCTATCCGTTCTCTACCTATATTTTTTTTTAAACTTTTGATCTGTCTTGTTTTATTATTATTGTGTCGCGCATCCTTCTTGGTGGCATATTGTACCAAGTTTTTTCTGCGTTTAAATAAATAAATAGTAGGATCTAAGGTGTGTTGTTCTCTTAGTTTGGAGCACCGGCGTTCCAGTGTAAGTGTGATGGTTGCAATATGCAACTCGAATAACAAGAATACTATTTTCAAAGTTTGACCACCGATTGATATGCTAGAGGGAGAACCATTAAAAAAATAGTGGAGTACTGGATAACTGTTTCGGCCTAGTTTGGGACTCATCGGTAGCACCTACCTAGCCACCGCAAGAGTTCGAACCTCGTAGACCATTTAGCCACGGAGACCACAACTCAATGGAGATAAATTCTCGCTAGTGACTGGTTGCAGGACGAATTTCCTTGAAGTTTTAGTGAGAAGTTGGAATCAGTGGGATCCATCCAGTCGAGAGTGGAGACAAATACTTGCCAGGGATGAAAGTGGCCGGTGGTTGTACTAAAACCGTGAATTGATAGAAGTTAGAATTCATGGGCTGGTCATTGAGTCGTGTCCCACTGACTTAGAATGCTCGACGAGCTTTCCTTGTAACCGGAAGGTCCTGGGTTCGAACCCTGGCGGTGGGAGGGGGTTGTTTAATAATAATAATAATTTATATTTCGTTTAAACGGGTAAGTTTACAAGAAATGCATGGCATTTTTACAGGCACGATCAGTAATGTTATAAATTACAATCCTGAAGTGTATCATAAATCAATACTTTTTCAAAAGTTTCAATTGTTCGATTGTTGTACAAGCAATCAGAACAGGTTCTTATAGATGTTAAATTGTAAACCGTTTACTAAGATCACCATCAAAGTTGAGCGACAACCCAAACTTCGTTCTGTTTCCTACTGATAGTTTTAGCCAACCCAATAAACAACATATATTTGGGTGAATGCTAGGCCGCCAGGTGATTGAACGCTATTTCAGGAAGAGAAGAACGTCCTGGTTAGCTGCAAAATGGTATAAAATGTAATTATGGATAATACATCATTGAAAGTACATCTACAAAATACATACAAGAAGGAACTGGAGACTCCTTGGAATGATAGTATACATTTGCACTGTTTAATGCTAACCATATTGGTGTAAGCATGGAGACTATGACGTTTCCGATGAAAATATAGCTTTGTTCAAACATTGGTGTTGTTTTTTTTTAATCAAAGCAACCAGACTGTAAAGCACGCAACAAATAAGAACAAAGAGCAAGTTTTAGTTTTAATAAAGGCCTACGTAGTTAAGATCAGATAAAGTATAATAGGGGAATAAATAAAAAGATTATTGTGAGCCAGATAAGTGATATTTCAGTGAGAAGTGAATTCTGGAAGATTAGAACCCGTAGGACAAGCTGACCTGTAAGATGTCTCACGAATTTGTGTAGAATCCATAGGGTAGCATCTTGACAAGAAGCTGAACAGGCTTGTATATGGTAGGAGCAAAGGCACTTCTTTATTTATAATTTAGATCTGTACAACCCTTATTTTTTCGCTTTTATTGCCGAAGATTCCCAAACCAGGACGAAACAGCTGTCCAGTATTCCTCCACTGGTTTTCATTAGTTCTCTGATGAATGATATTAATCTGTGGGGTCAAATGAATTCCGTATAAGCTACTCAGTGAAACAGTATTATTTACTGGATGACAAGGTTTCGAAAAAAAATTCATTGCTGCTCATAATCAAATCAACTGTAATCACACGGATTCGAAACTTCAGTTTTATAGTTCCCTTTATTGTCTCCTATTTGTCGTCGTTGGGGTAGTAGAATTTTCTAGATATCTGGGTGGACAGGTGTTGAATCATTCCTATTGCACGTGTTGATTTACAGTTGATTCGATAAACAAGGCTTCTGTTATAAATCTCTCCCTATACCCTGTGACATTAGATTTTAAAAATGTCATCTTATCCCATCCAGCCTATTGTATGGATAGTTGTGTGTAATTGCATGTAGTCAGTGCTATAGCTGAACTATTCTCTAGATTTCTTATCTTATTCGGGTCAACTAATCTAGATTTTGCTGCTAGGTTTTTATATTCGGCTAGTCTGACTGCCTCTGTTCTACTCCTTTGACCTATATATTTGACCTGAAAATTGTTCCAGGGTATGAGATAAAAAATGAGCATGGAAACAAATTAAAATCAAAATTTTTTTCAACTTGAAATGGAAGTTAGGTGTGAATATAAATTACAAGAGGCTTAGAAACACAAAAATTGCACAAGATTAATATATAATTGTAAAATAGTTATTTTAAACGAATTATAAATGTGAACAGGAAAAGCATGGAAACAAACTTAAAATAACTTTTTATAACCGGAAAAATGGGGTGAATCGAATGAAGACTAAGGGAGTAAGAATCACACACACACAGCGGACGAAAAAAGATCAAACAGAAAAAAGAGAACGAAAGAAGACAAATAACGGAAGCTAAGGGAACATAATCAACTAGGTCCATGTTAGTTGTAGAGATTGGACTAATTTCTTTTGAACACACAGCTCCGGCTTCTCGATGCATATTGCGATGGCCTATGCAGTACAGAGAGATCGGAAACATACTGCTTTTGGTAGGTTTCTGTTGACTTTGTAAACTACTTTGAAAAAATCAGTTGAGATGTTGTGGGAGGTATTGATCAGATGTTCAATTGTTTTGTTTTGTTTTGAAGGCTTCACAGGATGAATCTTTTAACCGACAAAGCTTGTTTCTAATTGAGTTTGTGGGTTTGAATGCCACTTTTATTCCTGCCTGTATTATTCAGAATTTTGCGTAAGATGGTTTCCGAGGTTCCTTCTTTGTGTGGAATTACTAGCCTCCAAAGCCTCAGGATGGTCGGGGGTGGGTGCCTTGCGCTGCGGGTTGGCCACCCCTCCGCACACCTCTTGAAATGCTCCCATATGACCGGGCGTCTTACATAGCCTCTCCTGAGGAAGTCCTACTCACTGCCTTCACGTGGCGGAGGTGTTTCTCACCAAAGTGAGAGGGCGAAAGCGGATGCCCGGCGCTCTCCACCGGGTTGACTGTCCATTGGATGACGGTCTAGGGGAGATGGCTAAACCCTGATTCCAAACCTCCAACGACTGGCGTATGAAGCTCACTGGAGCTCACCGGCAGACGTATGGACAAAGGGCTTGTTGGATGTCCTGGATGTCTGGCCCCATTCAAAAAGGCGTATGAACCGAACTCCGGTCACCGGCTGCCAATGGATAGTGGACTCCTTACTCCACTCCTACTGCCTTGTAGGTCACACTTGGCTGTGTAAAGGCTAGAGCTGCACTCTCAAACAAAAGGCCGAGCGATGCTGGGGACATTGCTCGTACCAAATTCCCATGAAACTTCATGAACTCTCTTACAAATTGCCGCGCCTGGGCAGCGATGATTCGAGACGTTCATGAAGCCGGCTCATCCTCCCGTAGGAGATAGCCGAAGTAAAGTAAAGTAAGTAAAGTGGAATTACTACTGATGATTTCGATTCCTTATTGTTGGTGTTGTCTTGAGCACGTCTGATATGCATGTCGTCACTAAACCTAGCAAAATCTAGATTAGTTGACCCGAATAAGATAAGAAATCTAGAGAATAGTTCAGTTATATCACTGACTACATGCAATTACACACAACTATCCATACAATAGGCTGGATGGGATAAGAAGACATTTTTAAAATCTAATGTCACAGGGTATAGGGAGAGATTTATAACAGAAGCCTTGTTTATCGAATCAACTTAGAGGTAGTAAGCGTAATAGGAATGATTCAACACCTGTCCACCTGGACATTTGGAAAATTCTACTACCCCAACAATGACAACTAGGAGAGAACAAAGAAAACTATAAAACTCAAGTTTCGAAGTTGTGTGATTATATAATTGATGAAACGATAATGAACAATGAATAAATTTTGTTCGAAACATCATTCAGTTAATAATACTGTTTCAATGACTGTGTGATAAATCTAGTAAACAAATTAATATTCGAATTGCTAACTCTTGAAAGTTTTTATTCTCTCTGTAATTGTACTTTTTCTCCCTTCCTCATCCACTGTAACAGATATTGTAAAGGCTTGTGAAAATGGTGACATCGATTCGCTGGAACAATTATTACCATCAAATTTACGTATTCATTGTACTCTAAGACTGCTTGTTAGTAGAGAATTTCAGGAGAATACTCTCCCCGGAGGACACAATCATCTAATCTACAGTCCTTATCCAGTAATAATAATAATACTAAGCAAGATAAACATTCCTCTCACCCACCAATTATTACCTTGATATCGAATAGACTGCGAAGTTTAGGATTCAGTGGACATAGATCATCAACTGATATAACAGCTGGTCAAGAACAATCTGAACAACAACACCGGAGTACATCAGCGGTCTTATTGTCCGATGCGGGTTTCCATTTGAATACGGAGGCGAATTCAGTAATACCATTACCTCTAAATAATATTTTAGAATGGACAAGAAGTCAATTGAAACCTCTCCTAGTGATGTAAGTGTTGATTATATATATATATATATATATATTTGGCCAAGTTAAACTTTAAGCACTACTAATTACCAAACAGCGAACGACTTCGAATTATCCGATGAGATTCACGAACTCGTATGAACTGTGGTGAAGATTTGACCGGATAGTTTCAAAATAATTGAGTGCCGAATGAGAGATCAATGCTGTGTAGCGCTTGATTCATCTCAAATGCCTGCCCTAACGAAGTTGCGGTTGCAATTCGAGAAGGATAGTGTTTTCCAGTATTGCCTGGATTTAGGCTTGCTTCGGAAAGAGAGAATTGGTTCGTTGTTGTGGTGTTATGACTTTAAAAAGCCATAGCAGGGCAACTGATGGATTTGTGCATCGTTGCGCAATGTGCTTGAAGCGAGTTAGCATGCATTAGAGAGGGTAAGCTGATAATTTTAATATTTCGTAGGGACTTTTTTCGCAAGGTCACACCTCTGCTTGTTGTGCACGTCGATGAAACTGTGTTGATGAAAAAGAAATACAACCGTGGTCGGCAGCGAGCAAACAATATTTGGGTGATAGGTTTGTATGATACCTCCCTCCGAAAGGCATTCGTCGAAAGGATAACAGACAGAAAAGCGACTACTTTAATACGTATTATTACCAAACTTGTAAAACGGGGATCAATAATACACACAAACGAATGGAAACGTTACGATTCCCTGTCATCTCTGGGTTATATTCATCATAGAGTCAACTATTCAAGTGATTTTTTCCATCCCGTTACGAGGACACATACAATAACAATAATAACAATTTCGCTTTATTCCAGAAACAGTACTTGTGGTACAGTGTGGAATTTTCAGCACATATCTACAATATTGCATCTAATTTCATCATACATTTAAAAGGAGTATTATAAAAAAAAAATAAAATACTTAAAAAAACAAAAAAAAGACAATAACAACAAAAAACCAAAAAGAAACACAGAAATAACAAAAAAAATGCAATAAAAAATACCAAGTAAAAAGGAAGATAAACACAAATAATGAAAAAATATTTCAGTATTGGTTAGTGGAAGCTACGATATGTGTATGCGTGGTGAACAGTAACAGCTATAATCATACGGGAAATTATGAGATGTTCTTAAAAAAATGTTTATAGCCAAGATGATCAGTTAATTTGATTGAACAACACTAAGCAATCATAAGATAAACATTTCAGGTTGTGTTTTTTTTATTGTCAGCACTAATGCGGTTGTTTGTAGTGGTAGTGTGAGGAATCATGCATAATACAAAATTTTTTAAGATGGTGATAGTGGCAATAACAAACAAGATTGTCAGTTAAATAGTGCCGAACAAAGAACAACCACAAAACTAATGTTACATGATGGTTAATGACGGGACAATTTTTAATAATCATAGTGATAATATAGTCGGACCCAGTAGATGTACAAAGAAGGAATAGAATAAAGAATAAAAATTTAAGCCAATGAGTATGTTAAAAAAAAAAAAAAAAAAAATAAGAAGGTTGTTCACTATAGAGTACAAATAAGAGAGTGTAAGGGGGAAATAACAAGGGCCAAAATTATGTTATTAACAACAAAGCAAGTCATAGGTTTCACGCCTAACATTGTCTCTGTCACTTAGAACACGGGCCAAATATGGTATCGTTGAGTTCCTATACTTGGTTGTACGAGCATATATTATTTTGTACTGATTTCTGGTTCTACCTGATGAGATGCAAGGAGAGAGTTGGGAATAGAGGGGGTGTTGGGGGTCAGAGAGTATGGTTTTAGACCATTTCTCACATGTATTCAGATGCTTATCCACTAATGTTGTGACGAGCTGACTGAGTTTTACACCGCTAGTCCTACTAACTACCTTCAACATCCTTCTCAGGATGGTATAATCCTTTTTCAGTAACCCAGGAAAGACTAACGGGGAACAGTAAAGTAGAATAGGTAGGATACGAGAGTTGACAAATTGTGAAAGCAGAGGTTGAGGGACTCCAGTTAGTCTGAGTTTCTTAATGTAGTAGGTTAGACGAAACACTTTCTTGGAAATCATTTGGATATGAGATGACCAAGTAAGGTCGGAAGATATAACTAATCCGAGGTATTTTGCATTAGACTTTGTTTCAATTATAGTCCCCTCAATTCTACAGACATCATGAGTGCTTACTAGTGTTTGTAGATCTCGTTTATGCCTAAAGGAGAAGTCGACAGTCTGGCATTTTGAGGGATTCAGCGTTAGGCCATTTATTTTAGACCACTGACTGATGTCCGACAGGAAGCTATTTAATTTGAAGCAGTCTGACTGAGACTTAACGGGAAGCGAAACAGTCAGGTCATCTGCATATTTGACGAAGTTGATTTCGTCTGAGAGAGGTAAGTCATGTAAGAAGAAGGAAAAGAGAAACGGCGAGAGAACAGCACCCTGAGGAACACCAGCTTCAGTAAGCAAAGGAGAGGAAGCTACACCATTATATACCGTGTACTGCATCCTATTGGAGAAGTAAGAGTGCAGCCAGTTGATAGCCCAGGACTCAGTTTGTGTAAGGCTAAGCTTGTTTAACAAAAGGCCTCTAGGTACAGAGTCAAAAGCAGATGTGTAATCAAGGAAAGTACAACGGACATACTTGGCCCCTTTGTCTAAGGAGGATACAATGTTGTGATGAAACACAGCAGCAGCATCCAAAGTACTTCTACCCTGTTTGTAAGCAAACTGCTTTGGATCGTTTGAGAAGCTTAGGGAGGGAATGAGTTTTTGTAACAGTAATTTCTCCATCAGTTTCAAAAAAGGAGAGGTAATGGCAATTGGTCTAAACTTAACACTATCTCCAGAACCAGACTTGGGTACAGGGATGATTTTAATATCTTTCCACAGAGAAGGTACATTATTATTAGAAAAAGAAGTATTGAAAATGCTTGTAAGTGGGTTACTTAAAATATCAGCACATTTCTTTAAAACAATGGCAGGTATACCATCAGGGCCTAGACTCTGGGAAGGTTTAAGAGATTTCAAACATTTAAGAACATCAGAAGTATTGAAACGATGAAAGTCACTGGTCGTGTTATTAGTTAAATTGAAGGCAGAAAGGACATTTGGAGGGCGGATGAAAGATCTATTGAGAGTATTTACATCAATAGAAGAGGCAAAATTATTATGCTTACCACAACCAGTAATTTCTCTAAAAAGCTTCCATATGTTTTCTGAGGTTTTACAAGATAGTATTGTTTGATTATAAATGTTGTTTAGTCTCTTGATTTCAGATTTAATTTGGGTGTTTATCTTCTTAAGACCAGATTTATTCTTTGTCTTGTACAGCTTCTCTTTTTCTCTACGAAGTTTTTTGAGATGAGGGGAAGAAAAACGATCCATTCTTTTGAAAATTATCTGTTTTGGACAGCATATATCAAGACAGAATTTAAGATAGTCAGTCAAATTGGAAATAGTATCATCCAGTTTGTGTTCGTTGAAAAGTTCCCAGTTAGTGTCATTTAGCATACATCTTAGTTTGAGCATATTTTCTTGTGAGTAACACCTTTGCTGTGTTTTCTTGGACAGATTTGAGAAGATATTAAAGTGAGATCTGCTGTATATCTTAGGTAATATCCGAATAATACAATGATCTGAGTTCATGATAGGAGCACGTCGGCGTACTTCATATATTTCCTCATCATTAATGAACACCAGGTCAAGGGTTTTATCAAGTCGAGTAGGGAATTTAACAATATTGGCATGACCTAATGATACGAGGAAAGAACAATCACAGCAGTTAAAATCTCCTGTGACAACTGATAAAGAGTTTTCAAGATGTGTAACGGCGAATTCAGTGAATTCATCAGCAAAATCAGATAGATCAGATGCAGAACAGCCAGGAGTAACATAAATGTTAGAGATGAAGACGTATTTGAATTTGGATAAGTGTTTCGGGCGGCATTTGACCGTTATACAATCAATAAAGTCATTAGAGTAAGAAAAACATACATTATTTGAAGTTGACCATTGAGAATGAATGAAAGTTGCAACACCTCCACCTCTTTTCTTTCTGGAGCATAGTCGATCTTGTCTAAACAATGTAAAACCATTTAGGGAAACCAGATTGTCATCATAGAGTTCATGGAGCCATGTTTCTTGTAATGCAACAATCGCCGTATTGTGATAAGTATCAGATGATAAGAGAGACTGGAGATGCATAATTTTGTTGGGAAGTGAACGGCAGTTTGAAGTGACAATAACAGGAATGGTTGTACGATATAAAGGTGTCTGTTTAAGTGCACGCTGCCAGCCAGCGTGATGTTTTCTCTTAGATTTATTAGATGCATTATTAGTTGCATGAAAGTCATATGGTTTAAAACGTTTAATGAATGAATTACTGTATTTTATGCGATTTGTGATCATATTTTATTAAAATTAGGAATGAAAACATGACTTATTAGATGCAATATGTAGATGCAGAAAAAAGGTAGCCCAGATGTCAAACAGGCCGCCACAATATTCTATTGAAGGATTTTGGGGTAGGTTGAAAAATAGGATAAGGGCTATAAATAGATCTCAAAAGGAACTCATTTATAGTCATTTAGATGAATATATATGTACAGAATATGGTGTAACTTTTCTATTGACAGTCCGATGCTTAACTGGGAAATGTTTCTCTCACATGTTAGGGAAAGATACCACCTGTAACCATTTTATGCTTTTTTCTAAAATATACGTTTCCACTTATCATGAATGCCTCTTTAATGTGATTGGTCCGTTCAAGGTCGCTTGTTGATTGGTTGTTAGCAGTGTCGAAAGTTTAACTTTGC